ACCCGTGTCGATAACCTTCCTACGCCTGATCGCCCCCGTTCTCTTTCTATCCGCTCTTCCTGCTCTTCCCACTCTTCTCCGCTCTTCTCCTTTTCGCGCTCTCGCGTTCTCCGTGATTCTCCCCTTCTCCTTGCCCCTTTCTCGCGGACCTCAGCCGACTTCGCCACCCATTTGACCTTCGAGACGAGATGAAGAAAGAGCTCGTCGTGCGTTTCGGGACGCGACCTCTTCTTCCTCCGAAGTCGGCTTCTTCGGGGCTCTCGGTTAACAGGAAGTCGAGTGACTATGCGAATTTCGCTGGTTAACTACACTGCCGCGGGTAACGGGGGAGGGGGCAGGGGGGGTGGAGGCCTTGCGAGCCGTTTCGAATTGTGGGAAGGACGCGGCACGTCGCCTGAATTGCCCCCGCTCTTTCTCGCCTCCGAGTTATTTTAATTGTTTCGCCGCGTTAGCTGGCAACTATAACGTTCGTGCAACTATAGATGGCCGGTAGTAGTGTGTTGATCAAAGGCTAGTCACGAATTAGCCCGGGCCCGGGCGGAAATAACGATATTAATAGCAGATGCAATTGGCGGTGGAGGGAATTGACCAACGAGCGAGTGATACAAACGCGCGTGTAATGTTAATTGCTCCGGCGTAGAAACGCGTGTGATTTTAGCGGGTTAATTCGTTAATTCAGCGGGGCTGAAACGTCGGGGAAAGTTTTGACAAACTAGAACGTAGAATTTTGACGGATGGATCTGGCCGAGTGGTTCTCTCGTGGATGGATAACTGGGTGTTATGATCGATTCAGGGGATCAACGATGAATTGAAGACTCGCAGTTGCTGCTTTGTTGTAATATCATAATAATCTGTTAATATATTTTCGCGTGAATGTATGTACAGGCGCAAATAATAATATTAATAATAATGTTAATAATATTAATAATGCTTCTTCTCTCCATATATTTATATATGTATAATTTCGTGTTAATAGAGTCTTTATGTAAGGTATCTATGTATATGTGGAGACTGTATTATGTTCATATTTATAGGGGGAGGGGAGGGAGCGCGACGGGACGGAAAGGGGAAAAGAGGAGGAGGAGGAGGAGGAGGGGAAAGGACCGATTATACAAGAAATTCTGCTAACGTGTGTTTTGTTCGTGTGTGTATCTACAAGAAAGAGGGGGAAATGCGAACCACCGTATGTTCGCACGATTTCTTCTTCTTCTTCTTCTTCTTCTCCTTTTTTGTTCTTTCCAGTATTTTCCTTCTTCTCTCTCTCTCTCTCTCTCTCTTTTATTATTCCTCCTATTCCTCTTCTTCTTCTCAACCGTTCAAGTTCGAGCGAGTTGATCGACCGACTCCGTCCCATCGAAAATCGCTCTCTCGAACCGCGTGGAACAGTTTCGCTCCGACAGTTAAACATTCGATCCGTTCAACCGACCACGTCGGAAGGAAATTTACAAATCGCTAATCTCTACTTAGAAGCTAGAAGGGAGAGGAAGGTGTCGCAAAGAGTATCTTAAATTAGTTCGACCGATGCTCGAATTTATTCCGACTGTTTTCATCGTTATTTGTATTGATTTGAAATCACTCGATCGACGGTGAACAACGTTGTGCGCGACCCCGACTCGCCGAAGAACGTGTTCGAAGAGTTGTTCTCTTCTAACGGAGCGTTGATTTCGTTGGACACGCGATGCCTGGAGAGAGGCGGACGATCTCTCGGATCTTTTCGAAATTCGGCCGCATCCGTCGCGAAAACTGGCGGAAGAGAAAAAAAGAGAAACGACTACCGACGAATTCTCCAATGATTTGTTCATCAATTAGATAAAAAAAAAAAAGTGGCTCACTTATGACAGTCGTGTACGGTTTCATCGAGCGAACAACAGCGTTATATCCGAAGCTCGGCCTCAGTCTACTTACGATGTTTGGGCCGCTCGAGGTTCTACGTTCTCGCGTTAACGTCGTTTCTCGAATTCTCACGTTCAACGTGCAACTCGCGTAACATACGTGCGAAACGACGGCGAACAATAGTTTTCGGGCAACGATTACACCGAACGTTTTTGTTGTTTTTCTCTCTTTTTTTTTTTTTT